GTTGTGCTTTCATTGTTCTCCCTCAGGACCTGCGGAAAGCAGCTGTGTTGATATTCGCCAATAAGCAGGATATGAAGGACTGTATGTCTGCAGCAGAAATCTCTAAATACCTCACCCTGAGCTCCATCAAAGACCACCCCTGGCACATACAGTCCTGCTGTGCACTTACGGGAGAGGGGTAAGAGAGATCTGCTCATTCTTCACAAGCAGGAAATACAGAGTGACAGGGTGTGCAGACTTTTAATTAATGTAGGGGTTAGATGATGATATCTCACCCTCATCCAGCTGCAAACCAGATCTCAATTAATACACAGATGTTTCTAACTAATCTTATTAGTTTTTTAAAATGAAAGCGGTGAGCAATAAAAGAAAACGGGGAATGCAGATGTTTTTTGTCTCTGTTGTTCTATCTGTAATTGTTTTCTGAGAGACGGATGTGGCCCAAACAAGCAGAAACTGCAGCTCTCCATACAAACCTTAGATGAAGTGTTTTTATCTTCGTTTTCTGCTTTAACAGATTTAACACGGCACCTAAAAGCTACTGCTCCAGGTTTTTTGTTTTTTTATCGCTAGGCTGTTTTATTTGTTCTTCTTGTTTTTTGGGGGTTTTTTTTGTTTGCTTGTTTGTTTTTTATGTTTATTGGAACAAACTGAAACTCTATATTATGTTCAGACAACTTTTCAACAAGCTTTGGTGCTCCAGTATAGTGACACCAACACCACATACTTATGAGGACATTTATCCAGTAAAATTAGTGTTAAGTTGTCCTGCAGGGCTGTGAGGCGTGTGAGCCACCAGATGTCACTGCATCTGCTTACTTTAAGCCCTGAGGCCTCAGGAGGCTTTGTGCAGCCATCAGTGGCAGAGTTCTGCTTTAAAAATAAATATGACCCACTGCTGTTTGTGTATAAGGGTAAAAACAGGCACACATTAAGTGCAGTAAGACAACAGGGGGAGTTAGTGAGAACATAAATATCCAACACAAAAACAACACAGGGTGTTTCCAGCTGTGTGAAAGTGTCTGACATGAACGATTTTCTGCTTTGTGAAACATGAAGAAGGACAACTCTGCAATGTATCCAATTTGGCTTCTCTTAAAGTTACCTGAAGTTGTCTAAAGCTGTGAAAACAGATGGGTATCTTTGACTCTTCCAAATTAGGAGTGCTCTACAGGAGTACACAGTATAAAAGAGGGATGCAGCTTTGAGGTCTGAAAAGTGAAACCCCTGCTGAAGAATTTTAAACCTGCATGTCACATTCACTTTCAAAAACGGTCACAACAGCTGAAACTCTCAACT